CCAATAATTGGACGAACAATGGTAAATATATATACCTATATATACGAGTACCTATAAAAATGAATTACTGTTCGTTAATCTCGCTAAAACTCGAGAACGGCTGGACCGATTTGGCTAATTTTGGTCTTGCATTATTTGTGGAAGTCCAGAGAAGGTTTAAACGGTAGATAAATATGAAAATGCTCGGAATTAAATAAAAATAACAATTTTGATTTGTCCCCCGTCGGACGGATTCCTTTTGATTGTTGTAAGTTTATTTTATACAAAAGTTTAGGTCTTTTATTTATCGATTGAGACAATACGAAGTCTGCCGGTAATGAAATAAAAAAGCAGTACTCAGATTTAATAGCAAGATACAGTCTGGGCCAGTTGACCAATCAAAGTACTGGTTCGGAAAAACTTGTTTTTGTAAGGAAAACCAAACATTTGAAAAGTATAATTTGTAAGATAGGGGTCCTCGAAAAATAGCTCTATAGTATTCCGTTATTTTTAAATTGGAATTTCAAAACGAGATAATAATTCAACAGGATTAATAAATTTGATGGATAAACTTCGACGAATCCCAAAACATTTGACTTTGTGTCAAATGTTCTATTGTGTCCTCTAAAGAAACTTGGTAACACAAATGCATACAAACAGCATACATTATTATAGCTACTCTTATAGTTTAATCTTCTTTTCTTTTTAATTTTCGACGCTTCGAACACAGTATTCGTGGAATAATAAATGTGAGATTACACAATTAATGTAATTGATTGATTTATCGTTCTCTCAACATTATCCTCTTTTTTTTGTCGAAAAGCGCTCATACTGATTTAAGCAATTTGTTGCCCGCTACTGCAACGCATTACGACTTTTCCTTGGTACTTAAAATCGAAGTCTTAATAGCGTTTTCTTAGTATTATATGGATAGTACGATCGCCAAACAAGACTTATTGGATTTTTTCTATATCCATTTTGAAGCACAAGGCTAAATACAATAAATTTGAGACGTCGAATCTCTGAATATGTCTCAATATGAGTGGTGACACTCACGTTGTCTCAAATGTCCGTTATATTGTATAAAGACCGTCTCACCCTTCGCACGAAAAAGGTAGTGATACCTACCCGTATGAGCCTAAAATATGCCTTACCCTTAGCAGGTAGTACTAGATTAATTTTTTCCACAAATGCATTGCGCTAGTAACAAGTAAGTTAGTAATACCAACACTCGCAGGCTTATATCTTACTCAGGCGTCAATAAAAATGTTATTCCATAAAAGAAATACTATTGCGTGAGCTCTTTACATTAAAATGCGTAAATAATAAGAATCCTTAACAATTGGCGTGTGCCGCTGGCGCGTGATCTCCGCTACCGCGTTACGCTAAATAGTCCGGGAGCTATACAAGATTCTCGAATACTATTGTTGCGTTGTGGTGAATGAAAGTGGACTGTATTATTAGTTTGATATTTTTATTAGTTCATAAGTGACAAATTAAAGAATTAAAATTAATGAATATAAGAAATATGAAATAGATGTGTCGCCCTTGGCGGCTGTAAATGAAAAGGGGTACAGCGTCATAGTGGACGTCGCTCAATGACACTTTTGACGTTCCTTTGACCGTTCCTTTGTTTCGTTGACGTGACTTTAATTCATATAACAAGTCTTAAGTAGTATAAACGAAGTTTGAACTGAACTACAGACAAACTAAGAGTAAATTGTGTTTCGACTGTTCTGAGCCTATCAATTGACAATCTAATATCGAAAATGACTATATCGTTTATAATAAATCGGTGGACGAAAGCTTTTGGTACACCTAATGTCAAACAAAGGTAGGAATCACTCACTATATTATGAATGCTACCGCCTACTTTGAGATATGAGGTCATAGTCTCACTAGTAGGTATAGTATATTGGGCCATTCTTCTAATCATATCGCATATCTTTCTCGCGGTTGCAGCTGTTCAGACTTCACAAAACATCCGCCAAAATAAAGCAAATTCAATTTTTTTCCAATTTGATTTATTTATATCACATTATACGAACTTCATCGTGGACGTAATTGGTGCACACATAAGTATGTACGTGCATATTTCCTTTGAAAAATTGCTTGCCCGGGATATTTATGGCCTGGCACATTCGCATTCCCGCAGTGACCTTTTTAGCCCACGACGAAAATTAACTCTGAATTGTTTTCTATAAATTACTCTTTTTTTAATCTCTTCATAATAAGATATAGCATTTAAACTACAGAGATGTAAATATCTGATAGAAACTAAACGATTACTCTGCACTTGAATAAAATCGATATTGATAATTTTATTCATAAAATTAAGTATATATTTGTATAATATAGTAATAGTATAGATTTTTATTTATTCCTAAGGTGAGTGGACGATCTTACGGCCCATCTGATGTTAAGTGGTTACCGGAGCCCAGACATCTAAAACGTAAATGCCGCCACCTATCTTGAGATAATAGTTCTAAGGTCTCAGTTTAAATACAACGGCTGCCCTACCCTTCAAACCGAAACGCATTACTGTTTCACGGCAGAAATGGGCAGGGTGGCGGTACCTACCATGTGGACTCCTAAGAGATCCTATCGGTACATTTTCATGCACATGCAAATTCATTTGTATAAAATTTATTTATTCGCTGACTATAACAGTTCGAATTAAAAAAAAATATGCTAATATTAATCTAAATGATCGCTATTACATTATAATAATTTAACAATAATAAAATTTTTGAAATCCATACGAAAAAAAATTTAAGTTTAAATTAAATTTATTGTCCCTCAGCTCTCGGTCTACAAGTCGGCTTAGTCCGTAATTAGATATGTTAATTCAAACCGATTCGCTCCGAGCGTTGTTTCACCTCAGAATTGGCATCGTTTAGCACAATATAGCACTCATTATCTTCAGTTAAAACACGTTATTATTGCACGAAGGAACATTCCGACGTGGTTATACAAATTTTGAATTTATGTAAATTTAACATCGAAACCTCGATAAAAGAATCGAGAATGAGCAGGCAGGTACCGACTTTGAAACACATTTGTAACTTTATAGATTTTTAGTAGGTAATTTAATTTGTATATTCTGTATATAATAATAATATAGTCATTGCTTTATATTCACTTGTTAAGTTTGATTTTAACGTCGTTCTAAGCTATTAGAGAGTACAAAAATATTTTATGATTCGAAACACAATCAACTGTGTCTGATCAATTCTGTTCTCGGAACAAACCTTTGCATTTCAATAAAAATTCAATTTAAATGAAAAAACACAATAAAGGAATTAATTCTCAGTGCAATGAAAGTTGAGGCTGTATTTAATTTGTAGTAGTTAGGGTTTATTTATAGTACCACGCGTGAATAGTAATTATGTGGTGCGCATTTATATTTATTGTAATTACACGTTCACAATGCAATTATTCAAAATGCAATTTTATTACTGGTGGTAGGACCTCTTGTGAGTCCGAACGGGTAGGTACCACCACCCCGCCTATTTCTGCCGTGAAGCAGTAATGCTTTTCGGTTTGAAGGCTGGGGTAGCCGTTGTAACTATATTGAGATCTTAAAACTTATATCTCAAGGTGGGTGGTGCATTTACGTTGTAGATGTCTATGGGCTCCAGTAACCACTTAACACCAGGTGGACTGTGAGATCGTCCACGCATCTAATTAAAGCAATAAAAAAATTGTGAAGTGCACTTTTTTCGCAATCCGTGATGCTATAATATTCCATTGGAATTACTTAAAAAAATCTTATATTTAAATGAATAATACTTTCGCGCTCATTATTTCGCATCGAATTTATTTAGTTAAGTTGATACCCGATTCCACTTTATAGCCACAACGACTGCATCTATATCAATTAGAGCTTGTCTATAATAACAGATTCCCTACCGGTTTACATTACGCCCGTAATTAATTTGCGGTATAAATAAGCAAAATTGTGAATTTATAAGTTCGGGTTCACTAAACACAGTGACGATGGCAAGCTATCTGTCACCATGAATACATTTTTTTTGTGTCCACGTCATCGCGCATCAATTATTCGTTTGGCACAAATCTCACGGGAACACATTACGGAGGTGTCAAAAGGACTTATCTAATGACACGCACGGCGCAATCCAACAATGGTGCCTCCAAAAATACTTCAAATATTTTTTTTGTTTAATTCTTTCATTGTTGAATAAAGCATAAATCGTTTTTGGAATGGTCAGCGTTGGGCTTTGAATGGACGAAACGGGCCGGGAGCGAGGTCCCGATAAAAAATGCCTTTTAATAAGGACAATATTTTTATGTCATTTCGGTCTCTAGCGCCCTGAGAGGCGCTAAGGTCAATTTACATGATAATAGGGAAGATTATTCAAATAATTTTTGTGTTCGTGAACGTGAAAGGATGTGAATGCGTTTTCTTTAATAATTTTATAAAATTCTTTGGGATAGTGTTCGATGTTTATTGGTTTCGTGCCGTCGATATATTTTTTTTTTATCTATAAGTATAAATTATTTTCGATTATGACTATCGATTAATGGAAAAATATTTTCATTTGCTTAAGATACAGATCTACATGTCTGCAGTGTGTCGCGATTGATGTCCCTATTTGTTCGTTTATCAATTTAATATGTTTCCGAGTATTTAATCTTTACGTGTATTAATTAGATATTGTGTATTATTATTATGTATTCGTGTAGCTGTTATCTGAAGTTGAGTGATTTGAGAATGAGCGAAATGCGAAATGGAATGAAGGATGAAATAAAATAATATAATATACAAATTAGCAGAAAATACATGGCGAGGTTCGATTGAATAAAAATATTTAAAAAAAAAAAATTGTGGATGAAAATCGTATTATTAAAATTTTATAAATTTCAAAAATTCCAAATAATATACGATAACTTAAACGGCACAATTTGTTTTCTTGAATAAAATCGAACACGTATCTTGGATTAATGTTACAAGCTTCAATTGAACCTCGGGAATAAAGAAGAGATTTAAGCGTACTCACTGTATTCGGGCGATGGGAGTCGCAACTATCGGTGATTTATGTTAGTTTACGTATAAATTAGTCGGCTGCGCGGCGGTGACTGTCCGAAGTGCAGTAAAAAACAGTAATTTATTAGTGGCGACTCCTCGTGTTCGCGCGGGCTCGACGAGTGTGCGGCGTGAGGTGCGGTCGTAAGAAAAAACTGGCTCGCTTGGTACGTAGCTCGATCAGCAGTGGCCTGAGGAAGAATAACCCAGGAGTCGATAGGAGCTGCCACTGCTTCCGAACGAACCCCGCACCCCTCGCGCCGCCCGCGCCCGCCCGATACAGATCACGCATTCTACAAATACCTTTAGCCGCGGCACTGCCGACCGCCTGCCATCTCTTTCGCTCCAGCGACAGTCTGCTGCTCTCTAGGTCCACCGAGTGAGTGTCGCGCGGGACGGAGGGGGTCTGATGGAAGTTTCAGAGAACGCTTCCTAAGTTCACCGAGTAAAGGTCACGCGGGCTAAGCGAGCCGAGCGTCGCGGCGCGAGCGTGGAACTCGACCGCCGAGAGGTAGCTGCGCGTGCGCAACACCGGCAGCGCCCACATCACTCGCCGTTTAGCTGTGCGCGTTCCCTCTAAAACTATAACCGTCCCGCTCGTTCACGTCGAAAGGCTTAGGCGGCTCGCTCACACGCGGGGACGTGGGGAAAAATGTATCTATTCTGTCGAGGCGACGCGAAGTGCAGTAGCGCGGTGCTTTTTTTTTTTTCGTTTCAATAAATTTGTGGTTCTCCGTCTCGCTTAGGCGCGCGCCCGGGGCGTTCTAAAGCGAGACGGCCGATTGCCACCGAGTTACGCCTTCCGTGCGTCCTCGTTATTATGTAGGTTGGCCACGTATGAGAGCCTCCGTGTACTGAACGCAGTATAAAACATAATAAAGTCGTAAATATAAGAGCTGTTTGTGGTGAGGTCGGCTGTGTTTAAGTCTCGGTTTGCTACCGGATTACGCGCCGCCTCCGACTCTTACTTACACCACCCACATCAATCTCGTTTGTCATATGTTTTGTATTTCATAACGTGAAGCCGTTGTTTAGTTCCTTTGAAAATGAATTTATACGTACGTATCAAGTTTTTTTACACGATAATTCGATAGCATTTGATATGGAGATTTAATAAATTGGAAAACATTTGAAGAATTATGAATTACGACATAGAATATGTCCTCGAATTTTTCTCGTCAGTAATACGTAATAAGTTGTTTTTTGACTCGTTTTTTAAGGAAACGAAAAACTATCATTCAATTAGAAAAGTAAAACGTGTAAATAAAACCTAAAATATTTTTCTAAATAAATAAAATTTGAGAATAAATTATATACGGTCATCTGGTTTCAAACTAATATTTCCTAAACTATGACTTTAGAATCATTTGCAATAAAACATATAAATGTGGTCGTCGTGGCCTAAAGGATAAGACGTCTGGTGCATTCGTATGTGGCGATGCATCGGTGTTCGAATCCCGCCAGCAGGTATCAATTTTTTCAATGAAATACGTACTTAACAAATGTTCACGATTGACTTCCACGGTGAAGGAATAACATCGTCTAGTAAAAATCAAACCCGCAAAATTATAATTTTCGTAATTACTGGTAATAGGACGTCTTGTGAGTACGCGCAGGTAGGTACCACCATCCTGCCTATTTCTACCGTGAAGCAGTAATGCGTTTCGGTTTGAAGGGCAGGGCAACCGTTGTACTGTTAAAAGTGAGACCTTATAACTCATGTCCCAAGTTGCGTGGCGGCATTTACGTCGTAGATGTCTATGGTCTCCGGTAACCACTTAACATCAGGTAAGCTGTAAGCTCATCCGCCCATATAAGCAATAAAAAAAATATAAAAAATATATATTTATATATCAAATACTCGGCAAAGAGCAAACAAATCTGTTCGTCACCCGAATATTTTCCTGAAGAGGGAATCGAACCTAAGAACCTCGGCCCAGGAATCAACAATGTCTACCACTACGCCACCGGGGCGATCAATAGCACAGAGAGACTTAAAGATGATATCTGCAAACCAGACTTCCTAACACTACTATTGCTACTGACCATATGTCCATAAAAACTGGTCTTAACTTATATTATACACATTCTATATCGGGAAATATCAATTCGGCTGATTGTAAATAGGACGTCTCCCGATAGGATCGTAAAAAAACCGTTATCGGAACCTAAAGAATTGTACCCTAAACAACTGTGACGAAAACTTCCGGTGAAAATTGACGCTACTTTCTCTGGGACAATGCGCCTTCAAGATTCAAATTGTAATTTAGAACATTCTTACAAAAGAGTATCGTTATGCCACATTGATTAATTTTACCTTTTATTATTCCTACCTATGCTGATAGCCTTGAGAGGCTATTTCAGCTTCGCCCTAACGTGTAGGTGAGCTCACGGGGCTCAAACCGGAGGGTTGCTAACCCTGGCCCTATCAAGAGCAGTGCTTCGCACAATCTACCACCGGATCGGAAACGCGACCCACTGATAAGATCCGGCGATAAGCTCAGTGGCCTGTGTCTATGGGTTAATTCGCTCGTCGAACCCGTCGCAAGCGACGGGTTCGACGAGGACGGTGACCAGTGCTTGTGGTACCTAAAGCCACCGTTAATGGATCGGGAGGATCCGTAATGCCTTTTTTTTGCGACGTCGACTGTTTTCCATTCGGTTTATAAGATCAGGTATGTAATTTCCAGCGACCACAACAAGAGGGTTCTCATGTCGTACCGCCTTCTCAAAGTGAAATTTTACCAATAATCTGCCTTAAAAGCAACAGAACTGTACCAAATCTTTACTGGTTTATCTCAATTACGATCGTAGTATTCTCGTTATTTTATTGACATACCGATAAAGCTATGTATGTTAAATCGGGGGTGCATATGAAGAAACCTACACTCAACATTGGGCTGAAAAATATACGTATTAAATTAGTCATAAATACCTACATAATATATCCGAATGCTTAAATTAAGCGTGACAACATCTCTTTATATATATGTTAACAAATTTTCAACTACAGTCCTCCAACATAGTCACAACGAATTTAACACGGCATACCTTTAACTTAACTAATAATTAAAACTATAAAAAGCGTGACGAACGTACAGACGTAACGGAATAGAGCACGACACGCGACAATGCTACGACGACAAAAACTTCAACAAAGACAACAAAAATTCTCCATAGACGTGATGCGTTTAAATTAGAAAAAAAAAAAAAAATACAATAAGCGAAAACATCAAAACATATTAGGGACACAATCGGGCACTTTTGTTTACGAAATTGGCATTCTTTGTTGACACCAACAGGGGCTCTTGGGCATTTTTGTTTGGGCACAACGGCAAATAGTGCCACACAATACGACAAAGCGATACACAAATGTTTACGTTTAAGGAAATATGCGCTTGAATGGCCCATTGTTGGGAAACGAATGTTTGATTGTCACATTGCAGATTTTCCAGATTTTTTCACTAGTGTTCAACCTCTAATCTTTTTAACGGTCAAACGAATACACGCCGTATTGTATGGCCAATAGATTCAAAATAACAAACGTGTTTAATTTTCGGAGAGTCTTCGCACAATTTTTCGGTATCGTCCTGTTCTTGTTCCACACGGGAATTTGTATTCAGTTTTCGTATCATCATGAGAAGCTGGCTCGAATCGTTCTTCAGCGAAATGGGTATGAGCAAAAGGACTGGAATGAAATTGCATATAAATAAGTATATATAAAAATGAATTGCTTTTCGTTAGTCTCGCTAAAACTCGAGAACGGCTGGACCGATTTGACTAATTTTGGTCTTGAATTATTTGTGGAAGTCCAAAGATAAATAAACATGAAAATGCTCGGAATTAAATAAAAATAACAATTTTGTTTTTACTTTGATGTGTCCCCCGTCGGAAGGATTCCTTTTGTTTGTTTTAAGTTTATTTAATACAAAAGTTTAGGTCTTTTATCGATTGAGGTACTACGAAGTCTGCCGGGTCAGCTAGTCATAAATAAATAAATAATTGGGAACAAATCACGTTGGGTCATCCGACTCTTATTTCGAATTCCCTGGGTTATGGATTCCCATATACGTTTAAATATACACATACATAGATTTGTATACATAAGACCATAAACAGTCAAGCAAAGAGCAAACAAATCTCCTCATCGCACAAAGTTTGCTCAATGTGGAATCAAAGTCACGAACCTCGGGGCAATATTTAGGGGCACTAACTGATCTTTTGGCGGGAATGCGAGGAGTGATTGATTCGGTGTTTCTTCAGGTTTAAATGTATAATAACGGTGATTTATTAACTGTTTAGTATCTATGAAATTGCACAAATATGGGAAAATAAAACAAAGCCGCTACGTCCGTAACTTCTCGAGATCCTCCGAAAATTCCACTGAGAAAGTTTCCGTAAATAACCACAATTTTACTGAGATTCATATTCTCATTTTTCATATATAAAAAAGTGATAAAGCAGTTTTCATTCCAAATTAAAAAAAACTTGACCTTAAAGGCACTAGTTACCAGGTCATAAAATGCCTTAAAAAAAAGAGCACTAACTATTACGCCACCGAATTAGTCAAAATATTCTGATGAAAAGCTGATCTTCTTGTTATATATAACAAATATCCAGCTGATCCAAATCTAAGATTCCCTGTACTATGGGAACAGGATACTGAAACAAGCACGTGTTTAAATTTAAACATATTTAGATTATTAGACCATTAGATTAGACTTACAGAAAATGTAACTCTTCATAAAAAGAAAAAAGAAGAGACTTCAGAACTCATATCTCAAGATGGGTGGCGGCATTTACGTTTTAGATGTCTATGGGCTCCAATAAACTTAACACCAAGTGGGCCGTGAGCTCATTCAGCCATCTAAGCAATAAAAATAAAAAATAAAATCCCATTCAAAAACTTTGGAGAAGCTGATCAGCATAGGTAGAAAAAAAAGTGAATCTAAAAATTTTTTACGAAAACTGGTTATAAACTTAAATACATATTATTTCATAGATCATAATTTATAAAGATAAAGATAGACTACTTTTTAACGACAGCACTTTGCATCTGTCTTTTCCTTTCTCTTTCAAATTGGGACAAGTTTAATGTACTTCTTTGTCGTATAAAATTTTCCTTTTTTTGAATGTTTTAATGGAAATAGTAAAGTAACGCCATATAATTGCATTACTTTACTATAAAAATTGCTTAAATTAAATAATAAGCTATAAAATAGTTAAGTATAATATAATAACTCAATATAATTGCATTACCTTACTATAATTGTTTTCTAGCTTATTATTTAAA